AGTCATCACTGGAGAATTAAAGAGATGATGACTTAATGTAGTAATGAAGATACACTCAGAAATAAAAGAACGAATAGAATTAATACAAGAAATGAGAAAGGTAAAAGAACACTATGAAGATGAAAGAGATAAATATGCTTTGCTAGATGTTAAATACTTTAAAACTAACAAGAAAGACTTTTATGAAGGGTTTAAATCATGCCTTGAATTAGAGCATGATGAGACGCAGTTGAAAAAAGATTTTAATGAATTAATAAAAACTTGTGAATTAGCAGGTGAAAGTTCCGTAAATTATGTGTTTAGTTTTGACGGAGTGGTCAGAGGATATGAAAGACTTAAAGAAATACAAAAACAAAAAATATCTCATGTACTTCGCTAAAAATGACTTAAGGAAATAATGACTCAATATAATATAGTGAAATGTTGTTTAACTATAACAAGTGCGAATGCTGTAAAAATACAAAAAATGATGTTAATATAACATTGTATAAGTTATTACCCGAAAATCTATGTAATAAAATAAGTGAATATAATGTATACTGCAATCAATGCTGTATAACAAGACACCTTGAAAAGTTTTTTCTTGAAGAACATAAGGATAAGGGATATACAAAGTTTCAATTACAGTTAAAATTCTTTATGCGACACCAAGCAAGATTTCCTATACACTTTTACCAGAAGATTTCCAGAAAGTCATATGAAAATGAAATTGATGAATTCTTTAGTAATATAGATTTAATTAGGAGGTTTGGAGGAATAAACGCAATTAAACCATATAAAGCATTTGTCAAAAATACCGTTATTTGTTTGAATGGATTGACTGGCATTTATTAGACAAAGATAAAATAAACGAAGTCTTGAACGAATTTAGAGCAACTAAATATAGTATATGGTATTACTACAACACTAAATATAAAGTATGTCTATTGTTGTATTTATTCTTTTGGGAATATATTTATTCAATAATAGGAAAAGAAAATATCAAATATATAGACATTGATGATATAGATAAATATGTAGATTACATATTTGAAGACATATTGCCTGACCATTATTTTAACCCATAAACCTTACAATAAAAATACATTGTAAGATTTATGATTTGTAATATTTTGTTAATAGTTTAAGTTTATATTCATTCATTGAAAATGACTTAAGGAAATAGTGACTTAATATATTAGTGAAGAAATGAACGGTATTGAAATCAATAAGTATATTAATAAGAAATGCTATGACTGTTGCCACTTCAAAAAAGAAAATATGGAATTGTATAAATTAAACTTACCTAATGGAATAATAAATAATATTATTGATTATGCTTTGGGTGAAGAAGATTTATGTAAAATTTGTAGAAATTGGAGGTTTTATCAAGAATTAATCAAATGTACTTTAAGTATTAAAAGGTTTAATGAAAGAAATGTTGAAGATGACATTTTGATATTTTTAACTGTAAATAAATTACCACCTTATGAATATGTTAAACAGTTTCTTAAAATCAGTAAGAAAAAATATGTAATGATTGCTGATATATTATTGATGTTGTGTCATAGTCAAAAGAAAGGAGAAGATATTAAAGAATATATCAAATTTTATATTGAAATTTATAAAAAGTTTAATGTTAAAAATACAGTGAGAGATATTAATATTATTTTTAAAATGATGTATGAAATTAATGAGATTTGTCAATTAAATTATTATCCTGAACTTAAATTATAAATTACACCATAAACCTTACAATTTAATTTTATTGTAAGATTTATGATTTGGATTTATAGATTTAGTTTCAAGGAATATTGATTGTAGGAAAAACTGTTTAAAGGGTTGTAGGTAGTATATATTAAGGATTATGGGAGAAAATCATGATAAAACAGCGATTTGTAGCAAATGCACCAAAATAAAAAATAAAGATGAATTTGAAGAAGGTAGATTATGCTGTAGAAAATGTAATGAATATAATGTAAATCATAGAGCAAAGAATAAAGACAGATACAACGAGGAGCAAAGAAGAAGATTTAAAGAAGATGAGGAATATAGAAAAAAGAAGCAGGAAGCAAAAAAGGAAAGGTCAAGAAATATTGTAAGTTGTGATGTTTGTAATCGTTCAATGAGGCAAGACAGTTATTATCAACATCTTAAAACAAATAAGCATAAAAGAAATTTAGAAATGAAACAGGCAGAAGAAAATTAACACTATTTTTATTAATAAATATTTTACATAAAATTGTATAAGGTTAATATGTAGAATAACTTCTTAACCTTATATAATATTTCAATGAAGTAAAATTATTTTCAAGTAATTAGATAAGGTTAATGAATATGAATAATGTATTAACCTTATTTAATAATTGAATTATAAACCTATATTTTATATTTTGGTAAGTTGTTCTGAAAATTATTTTACTTCGCTCAACATCTGTTCTTGTATTTTGGGGGATCCCTTAGAATGGGGAATGGATATGTCCGCCACAAGGCTTTCAGGGAAATTGGGGGTTTAAGGGAAATGGGGGGAGAGTCTGAGAGCCCGGCTCACTGAACTGAACAAGGTAGAAAATTGGGAGATTGATGCAACTCCGATGCTTGGTGGCCTGTCTTTCAAGGCGGTGCAAAAGAGTGTCACCTTGTTGTTGACCACCAAGGCCTCCTTTTTAATTCAGAAACATCATGGAATATAGCTCCCAACGAAGACCCAAGGGATGGCAGCGAAGCCGCCAGAACTGCATGAGGTTGCTGGAACCATCACGACCATGTCAGACAACTCCTGTGGCTTTTCAGATTTCCGAAATTGGGTCTCAGGAACCCCCGGGGTGGGATACGTTTCTGCGGTGTGGACCGTGTAACTTGGGATTCGTGAGAGAAATCCCGCATTGGATACTCAGCTGCTTCGAGGAAACCACAGTGTCTCACACAAAAGTACCAAACATTTGGGTCATACCGCTATTAGCAATAGGAACCACTTCCCGCGACACACACACACACACAACTCTCAGCATCTCCTCGGAAGCCTCCAAAGAAACACACACACATACACACACAAGAAACATGTTGTTTTTACAGATAAAAACAAAACAATCTCAAACACATTTCCGAACATCAAAATCCAAAGCATTTTCTGCGATTAAAACAAAACAAACGACAGAAACACAAAACATCCAGAACCTCCACCACCTGCCCCACAGCCGCCTTCCCTGCAGCAGAAAACCAAATCCGTACCCTAATAACATATATAACAAAAAACACCTTTTGCCTGTTTTTAGTGATTGAAAAAAACAAGCTTTAATAAAGAAAACACACACAACAAAAAACATAACTATAATAAACATGTCAAACAAACCAAATCCTTTTCCCGCGCGCACGCGCCGCTGCCCCGCGCTTGACCCCGCCTCTGCCAGCAGCTCCTCCGCCTCCCGCCGCAGCGCGGCGCAGAGGCGCTGGCTCAGCACGGCGCGGCGCCGCGCCAGGCCCCCGGCCCAGCCCATGGCGCAGCCGAGGCGCAGGCGAGGCGTGGGGACCGAGCCGAGTCGTTTGGATTTCTGCAAAGCCATGGATCCGAAAAGAAAGGGAAAGTAGAACATGGTGTCATCAACAACCATCTTAATATATATATATATATATAATTACATATGTATGTATGCAAGTTAATATATATATATATATATATATATATGCATGTATATGTATAGAGAGACATGTTTGTTCACAGGGTGAGGTGACTCGTTCATTCCCTCAGCAAGTAGCTGGATGACCCATGGGTTCCTGTTGGATGCATCATTGCTTGCAGGTTTGTGGCCATGTTATTTCCGTGGACCTGACGGGTGTGGGTTTGGTACCTGATGCTGGCCTTGTGGAGTTGAGCCGACTTGTTTGGCCCAGCATGTATCATACGACATCATGCATATCAGATACGTATATTATATATATGTATAATATATATATATATACCATATAATACATGCAATGCATGCAATGTGCGTATGGCCGGCTGTTCTTCATGGTCTGGTGCTGTACCCAGCCCTAAGCCACAAGTCCATCGTGTATCTCAGCTGACGATACGCGAGGAGCCCTGGGAGCCGAGCGGTCTTCGTTAACGAAGGCCCAAGCCAAAACGCCTTGGACAAATCGGGGCTTTGGTGTTGAGCGGGTTGAGACCCCCGGCAAAACGACAGAGAAGGCCCATGCCCGGATTTGGTGCCTTGGTCCTTTGCCTCCACTCACAGCCCGGGTTCCACAAGAAGCTCATAGCGCTGCCTTGTCTGAATGCGACTCGTTTAGCGACATGACCCCCCTGTCATCTCGCGGCAAAACAACAAGGGAGGATGCAGACTATGAGTCAAACATCAGAAACGAAAAGGCAAACAAACAAATGGACACCTAAAAGATGGGTCATGGCACCCCAGAACCGCGGGGATTCGAAAGAGTTGAAAGGGGGTTCGGGACAAATGCAAAAACACACCCATCTCTGGTTGTCTTTTTAGGGGAATCACAGCCTGCCAACCAAGGGAACATGGTCTATTTGGGTTGTCTTCCCGCCTTTGGTTGGGAAAATTCGGTTTGTCCATGGCCCCATTTCCACAAACCAAGAGAAGACTGGCAAACCGGGATGTCAGCATACCACAAATTTGCGCCGCGCGGCTGGACTCCTGAACCTGAGGGAGCTGCAGAAGGTACTCCCATGGCATCGGTTGATGTTGGTTCCTCGTTTTGCAGGGTACCCATCCAAATTGCAGGGGGTCCTTTTGGCTTACCCGGAAAAAGCCGATCGATTCTCCCGGCAAGAGGCCCCAAACAGTATTGTGGTCTTTCATTAAACACACAAAACAAAAACAAAATGAACCCGTTCTCCCCTGGCTTCTATTGGAAAACCGGCTATTTAATTCTTACCGCAAGAATCCATGTATTAAACGTTTTTTTTTGGGGGGGAAAGCAACAACGAGGGGAGTCCCCAAAAAGACGAGCCCATGGCTTCAGCGCTTCAGCACTTCAGCACTTCCGCCGTTCCCCGCCTCGCCACACGCTCCCGCAGCTCCACGTCAGCACGCGCAGACTGGTTTGGCCGGTTTTGGTTTAAGCCACGCGGTGCCCAGTCCGTACGTCAGCAAATGCAGAGACGTTCCCCGAGCTGACTTTCGGTATTTAACATGGAGACTCATACAGCCCTCAGCCCAGTGCTTCCAAGCCAAAGGTCACCAGGGGAAACCATGATGTAAGACCTAGCGGTGGTCATACCTAACCTACCATAGTGGTAAGTGGAAGCACTGGGCAGCACAACCTCAATGAGAGAACCAGGTAAATGGCAAAAGGGGGGTTCCTTGCAAGCTTAAAGTGAGTTTCTGCTGGTGATGTCGAACGGGAACATGGAAACCTTGTTCTGGCCATGGGCAAACGAGTTGGAGCAGTCTGGTTCCGGGTGGGAGGGTAGGTGCTGAGACAAAGTCCATTTTGGTGACTGACGATGCAAGCTAACAAGCCACAAACTTAAGACACTGGCACAGTTGGCTTTGTCTCAACATCACAGACCCCCTGCCCTCTCTAAAACTTGCTTGAAACAGACCGATATTGATTCAAACTGCTGCATTACTTGGGTACATCTCCAAATTGGGAAATCCACCACCAAAGCAGGTGCATTTCCTGGGTTTCTCTTTCAAAGACTACAATCACAAAACACACAAGACTTTGTGCGGGTCGCGTTACAGGTTCATCCAAAGATCTGGCCGGGTCGCGTTACAGGTTCATCCAAAGATCTGGCTTCAACGGCTGGCCAAATTCCACGTCTCTGAAGAAGGTTCTGCCAAAGAGGAAACCCGTTCGCTTGCACCAAAGGACACCCATCCTTTGCTACCCATACAGGGTGCCAAATATCTCCAATGACTTTGGGAGTTCACAGGCATTGCCGGTCCCAAAACAAAGTCCACACAAAAAGTCGAAGGCTGCTTCTGGTCATGCCGCATATGGTTGCTCATCCCTGCCTAAACCCTTGTAGCACAAATGCCCCCTCGAATGTCTCAGCCCAAACAACCCACTTGTTTGTGCCTAAAATTGGACCAAACAGGGGAAACGAACAATCAACACTTTGGCTTTGGGCTTTGGGGATCTGGACCGAGCTCCAAAAAACTGCCTAACTGGCACGGTGTTTTTTTCACAAGGTGTCTCGTCAAGCTGTCGGGCAATGATTCATCATGACAAGAATTGGATTAAGCCAAAGAATGAACAAGTTGCAAACCTCTGTGAGGATAGTTACGGTTTGCCCCAATGCATCACAGAAAGTATATAAACCACTATGTCAATGGATGTCATGTTACACTATGTGACAAGGCCATGCCCGAGGCATGTCAAGTTGTCAAGCTGGTGATGCTTCCTCACAAGCTGAAATGCTTCTGGCAAACCTTGAAAGAAACCGAGAAGCCCTGGACAAGGGCAAAGGGATGCAGCAAGGACACTATACGATGCCCATGTTTTTAGTGGATTCGCCAACATGAACAGCCGAACTCCCAGGAGTGTGATCTTCCCAGATGCTTGGAGTCGCGAAAACTGGACTTGGGCAGAGGCTTCTTTCCACAGGCTCCCCGCCTCGCCGCGCAATGTGGCCTCAGAGTTGACAAGGAGAGGTGGACTTGCAGGTTGCTGCAACCATTTTGCAAATACTGTAAACACGTGCTTCCTTTGTTGCTGCTGGTCAAAAGAAGGAGTGGGTTCCCAGCCTGTCGACTGGGAAAACTGGGCTGAAGCAAAGATCAACCGATGTCATCTGGTCATGGCCCAGATCTCCGGTGGCCGTGGCCAGGGGCAACAAAAAGCCCAGACGTATCCCCCACAGCCCCGGAACCCCTGAACCCTCCCTCAACACCTGCCCCAAACCACCCCGAACGAGCCGAACATTTGGGCGCTTTGCTCCCATAGCTGTTGCAGCGGTTGCTGGGAGACCAACACCACGCGAGAAGCGCAGCTCGTGGCCTTCCGTGCGCTCCGTCCCTGAGGCTTCGGGCGAAGTCTTGCGCCAGCATCTGCAGGTCCCCGGCAAAGGTCGACGCCTGCGACGTCGCGTCCGAAGCGACGCAAATCTCTCAGCGGGGCCCGCGATGTTCAAACCTGGCCAATGCAGCCCCGGGTGGCTTTACAGGCGGACAACCACTGGTGCCGAAGCCTTTTTATGCATAAATGCATATATATATATATGTCTGTATTTCTTCAAAGTTTGGCCAGGCAGCACCTGATTTTCCATCATCTCTTAATGGAATGTGCAAAGGAGTCAGAGGACAAACAACCACCCGTGAAAGCCTGATGGTAGCTTGAAGGAAGAGTCCTCTAAAGGATGGGGCCAGGGGGCTTGCGGAGCTCAAGCACATCTGCGATGAAGTCTATGACTTGTTTGACAACATGGCTTTTCGCGAAGGGGTCCGTCGGGCAAACATGAACACTTGCCTCCCCTTGCACAGGCACGGTTGAGGATAGAACCTCAAATCCACTTGGTGCATGTAGGCACTTTCTGAATCAGCTGGTACAGGGAGTTTCTCGGGCCAACATATCCGGCAAGAGGAACACAGCACGGCTTCAGATCCATTTGGCTTCCATCCGAGCACCGAGCGGAGCTTCCGGCCACCTCCGCATGCCGGGTGCGCTCCTGCCTAAGCTGGAGCGCAAGTTTTGGGTTCACCAGAACTCTCGTTTTGGGACCTCGAAACTCTAAAACTTTTGAGGCTTTGGAGGCCCACAACCTAGGTTTGGGACCTCGAAATTCAGACTTTCGAGGCCAAAGTCGTGTAGGTTTGCTTGTTGCTCACTGAAATGTCCCTGCCTGAAATGGTTGTTTAACTACCAGAGCCAAAAAGTGACTCGAGCCCATGGTTGATTTTCCGGGACATGAGCAAACATAAGCCCAAATGCCGGAACCTCCAATTGGAAGCGACGGGAATCCTCCAGGAACTACAATGACCCCATTTTGGGTTCCTGTTGGGCAAACGCATGGAATTCAGAATGTCTTGTCTGCATTGGTTCCAACCGCCAATACACAAAGACAACCAACACGTGAAGAATTCGACCCCCACATATTGAACAGTTCTCTTCTTGCCAAGCTGCGGCTCTTAAACAATTGGCCGTTCTTACCGTGGGAAAAGGGCGACACCACGAGGCAAACCAGGTCGGTATGCATTATTCAATGATCGACTGGTTAGGAAGCACGTGGACATAGGTTCAAAAAGGGAAAATTATAGGGGTTGATTCCTTGTCCATTCTTTTCCACCATCGTTCTTTTCACAAACCGATCGCTGTTTCTCCAGGGTTTTGGGTGGTCTTTTAGAAGAAGGATGCTAGGAAAGAATGGGGAAGGTACCCCTAGAATGATTGACTCGTCAGGAAGCACCGATGGATGTGTCAAACCCCTTGGGTGTTGGCCCAACAAGGAGACACAAAAGAAACCAACCCTTGAGCAAATTATCTCTTTGCAACAGTCCAAACGCAAGTGACCAAAGTCCAACTCGTGAGCTGATGAAGCATACACGCAAGGGTTCCATTTTTCGACCCCAGGTAGACTTGAAGCCTGTTGCTGGTTCCCAAGGTGAATAAAAACTGGGCTGTTGCACGTTCACGTGTCCATGTTTTTTGAGGTTGTGTCAGGATAGGTCTTCGGACCCAACTTCAAATTAAATTGAAATCGGTGGTCCTTTTGGTTCTTCCCAAGAAAAAAACAACACGCCAGGGAAGAAAACCGCCTGAAAAAGTGGGTTCACGAACCTCACAAAAGGGCGTTTGGCTCTAGAAAAAGCGTCACCCCAACAAAAAACACGAACAAACCGAGAAAAGAAAAAACAACCAAAAAACGCTCCCGGGAAAAGGAAAAAAACAAGGAGAGAAAAGACACACACACACACACAACGCTGGCGCCCCACCCGTGGAACGCCGCTGGCTCGAAACGGGCAGGGCGCGCCAAGCGCGCTGGCAGGTTTGGTGAGCCCCGGACAGCTCCAGCAGCTGGCGCTCCATGGCAGTGAGGCTCTGCAGCTTCTCCTTACCCTCAGAAAACCCGCGACCGAGGGACCCGCGGCGGGACCCGAGGGACCTGCAAAGCCGTGGGGCTTCGAGCGAGTCTTTGGCTCGCAAAAAGAAGAAAATAAAAAAGTCTCAGTAGGACAATGAAGCCCAGAATCTGGGAGTTCCTCCACATTTTATTTGCTTTGCGTCTGGGAAAAAATGAGAAGAAACAAGTCCGGCGGTGGAGTCCCAATTGAAACCAGGAGGGGAAATAAGAGATATTCGTTTCAGCAAACAGAAGGTTGGGAGGGCGTTGGGTTTTGGAGCCATGTCACCCACTCGCTTCCGATCGAGTTGATTGGCCCAACAAAAAGTAACTAAACTCTTTATTTACCACTAAAATGGTTCAAACCCAAAAAGTTTAGAGTCCAAAAGGAAAGACACGGCACCCTAAACAAACATGTAATCTGTAACAAGTTCTTCGGGGGTACCGCTGACGGTCGTCCACTCTGGGACGATCTAGTGCCCTCCATCTAGCCCCTAGCTTGTAGCATCTCGTGCTCTGACGTCGTGACTCGAAATCTGGGCGGGGCCTGCAGACTTCCCCGGAGAACTCCCCAAAACTTGGTCGCTTTCTGTTCGCCTGCCAAATGTTATTTTAACTTTTCGTGGTTTATGGAAAAATCATGAGTTGGCGAAAACAAATGTTAACCGTAAAGAAACATGGACCTAAGAAACCCTGGCATGATGATTTGCCTGTGAAAACCAACAAACAAACGTTTGCCCATGGCTTCAAATGGTGCAGGAGTTTGCACCATCCAACGAAAAGTTGGCTGCTCTGTGATAGGCACAAAAGATTCAAGGCATTTCAGTCACAAGGGTCATTCCCTCTCCCAAAACAAAAACAAACAAAACAAGACGCAAAAACAGAAACAGAAAGGGACCACCAAGTCTAGGCCTGTCGAGCCGATCGAGCCTCGTAAAGATGCGGAACCTCAACCCAAAGCTCAAATTAAACCCCCAAAACCAGAAGCCTTTGGGGAAACCTCAAAAAACAGAACAACTTTTGAGGTCTCCTAGAGCTGACCATTTCCACCCCTTTGGGCCTGGATGAAGGCTTCCCTTGAAGCAATCTATGCCTTAGATTGGTGAACAGCAGCCATATGGCCATGGGTCAAAAGCCCGTACCCCCAGTAAACATCCCAATCCCCACTAAAAGAATAGACTAAAATGCACCTACCCCAAAATAGTAGCATTGGTTTTGACCCACAGCCATATCTAACCCTTCATCTTTGCAGCCATAGATTGACCGGCAGCCTCCATACCTCCAAACCGATAAATTTCTGGCCAAACTGCTATAGAATGCTATGGTTCCCAAGCCGGAACCATGGTATTTTCAAGTAAGGGAAAGTCTTCATGTTTACCCCCTGGTAAGCTCGGTGTAAGCTGTGGAATGACCTCCAAAACCCATACGTAGGCTTGCCAGCTCGCAGGGAATGAGGGAATGACCCTGAACGGAGTAACTAAAGCATCTAAATGCTGGTGTCTGTAAGAATCCCAGACAGTTCATTCCCAAAAGCCCTCAACCGATTTCCTACTCAGAACCAGCAAGTCGGGCTGAGTCCTGGGGACTGTGTAGCGTTGTAATCTACAGGCCCCTTTTTGGCCACCGATGCTCCTCGCTGCATTCATCTAATTCCCTTTGGTGGGCTTCCTATAGAATCCAGTAGCTCACTTCCTGAGATGGGCCAAAAAAAGCAACCAAACTTCTAGTTTTCTGGGCATTTTTACTTGCAGGTGTTAAACACGGCAGGGTTCATTGGAGCCCTTTATTTTGCCTACTGCCCACGAAAAAAACAAAACAAAAAAGCAAAACAAACCAAGCCGTTCTTTCACTAAAATGGTCCGAACTCAAGTTCAAAGCCCGGGAACCGCGAGTCAGCCCAAAAGGAGCAAAATCCAAATCCGACATCTCCATGTCCCATCCCTGTGGAAGGTCTCTGACTCCCGGAAAAAAAAAATCGGCTCGAGGCCCCTGTCAAATCCGCCTCCTTCTCAATGCGCGCCAGCAGGGTGGCCTGCACTGCTGCCAGGCCTTGGCTGTGGAACTGTTCAGGTTGGGTTGCTTCCATTTGCTTTTTCGCCCACGGGGGAAAAACAAAACAGTAGTGATAGATTCCTTTTAAAACCAACAAGGGAACAACCAAAACATCGGCAAATGGAAGTTTGAAGGGAAACGCCAGAAGAAAGCCGCCAGTTACCTCAGAAACGCCCAGTTTGGACCCAGAAGTACAAGGTGATATCCCCTTTTCGGGCCACTCGACATGGGAACCCAAAAAAGGAAAGCAAGAGGTCAAAAAGGTCGACTTTGGGCAAGTGATGGTTGGCTCCCGCATACTTCTCCTTCTCCCACAGCCGTATGGCATTTAGTTTTGAGGGACCTCAAAAGTGTTTGGTGGACAAGAATCACCCCCCATCTTTTTCATATGGCAATGAGTTTTGAGGAAGGGCAAAAGTGGTTGGAGGGCACGAATCACAATCACGTCCAAAGGCTCGCGCGGCACTCTATGCACGAAGATATGCAGAGCTGCGTGCCAAGTGCGGACGCACCCACCTCCCCTTTCAAAGGGTTGGGTTACAGGTTACATTCTACAGGAAAACCGCTGATTTACGATGTATTGGTGCCATTTCCTGCAAACCTTCCGGAAACCACATCCTTTGAACCTTGCTTTGTGACTTGGCCCAAGGTGGGCTGCAGGCCATCAAAGGCCGTCTCACCTCCTGCGGCATTGCCGCGGCCCAAGGCCCTTGTAAGGGGACCCGGGCCACTTTCCGAGGGCCGGGCTGGCATGAAACTTCTCCCCGATGCTCCCCGGCGCCATGCTGCCGTCCATGGTTAGCCTCAGCTCGAGCGACCTGGGTCCATGCCGGGCTCCATGCCAAAAGCCAAACGAAGCCCCAAGCTTCAACCAGCCAAAGAATGGTTGACCCAATTTGGAAATCCCATCCTTAGGTCAAGAACGGTGCAAACAATTCACCCCCCTGCTTTTTAACGGTGGCTTGAACCGCAATTAAAAAACAAAAACAAAAACATATAATAATAATAAATGTGCCTTTCAGTTTGTGGCTGTGGAACCCAAAGTGGACACCTGCCAACTGCCAATTCGCTGAACCCTCGACAGGACTTGGGGACTCAGTTGCCGGGGAAAAAGCCCCTGCCATGGATTGTGGTAGGGGAAAATGGCCACTCACTGGCTGAGAGGATGGCCCAAAAAAAGTTCAATCTTTATAGTTGCCACTAAAAGGAGAAAAGTTGAACTCAGGAAGTGAGGGCCATCCACTCAAATGGTGACCACTAAAATGGTCTTCCCAAAAAGTTTAAAGTTCATGAACTCAGGAAGTGAGGCCATGTAAAAGACTCAAAGGGAGCTTTCCGTGACACTACAGAAATGGGAAGCAACCCCTCATTCCCAAAACACTGCTGAACCATAAGAATCTCTGGTCATTTCCAGCCCGTGCACAGGCAAGGTGCCATATGGGCATGTGTCAAAACTAGGGACCTCCTTTTAAAGAAAACCCACCAACAACAAAAAACACCCCCGGACAACACACTGCCAGTTTGCAGGGGCGGGGGATGATTTCAATGCGAGATCCCCGTCTGGATGGGACTGGAAAGGCAACTCAACCCAATTGTTCAAAGGATGCGAAGGCATGTGGGTGTGGCCGAAAATTGAGAGTCCATGTTGAACGTATTCGATGGTTTAAAACAAGCATGAGAACAAATGGACGATAAGCAAGTGAATCCTGGACCAATTGGTATGTCTGTCATTTGTTTCTGTTGGTGATCAGTTGAGCGAACAATCAAACACCAGGCAACTGACATCGACAGTCCCAACTAGAAATAGGCAACTGTGTGAGGATCTCTGCCCTATTGAATATTCACCTTGCGCTTTTGGGCACTTCCGCTTTGTGGCTCATTTAGAGAATGCCTACCAATGTTGAAAACAGTTGCATAAACAAGCAGACCCTGAATCCCGTAGTTGAAAGGGTACCAAAGAACATTGTGGACATTGCTGATTGATCTGCCAAACTGCAAACATGTTCAGCCCAACAAGTGCAGGTTTTAGGCTATGCTGCAATTGGCTGGGCAAACAGTAACGGGCACAGTTTGCAGCAGGGCTTATGTAACTGCTATAACTTTATTCATGTGCCCGATTCGGCTGCCTGTCTTCAATGTTTGGGAAACTGAATTGAACAGACCCCGAAATCCGCGGCCATTCGACTAGGAGTCATGCTCCCTCATGTAGAGGTTGTAGAACAACACGTCTTTTTTGTTGTTATGCATCGCTACAAGATGCAGTGCACTCCGTTGGCTCTAGCCTATTTTCGATGAGAGGCAGCACGTAGCATGTGCGCCCAGGCTCGAAACGAGAAATCAACTGGGAATGTAATTCGCGACGAACCGGGGAATGTGACGAGAGGGTACCGCTGTTGGGTTGGTTTTGAAGGGACCCAAAGTAAAACCACCCACTTGAATTACCCCCATTTGGACACAAACCCATCTGCTTGCGGCTGTTTTGGGGGTTTTGGCACATGAGTCACAATCAAACCCCGGTAGTAAAACGATTTACCCAGAACCATGTCAAGAATTAAGAAGGCGGATATCCGCACCTATTTCTGGCTGGGACTGCCCCAAACTAACCGGATCATCTACCCGAATCAGTTTTGAGCCAGTGGCTCACATTACGTCGGCTCACTTCGATCAAGCGGCTGCGCAAAGTCCTGGCGCAGATGCATGAGCTCCTGGCAACGCGCGCGCAGACCCCCCCCCTCCCCGCGGGCGTTCTCGTGTTGAGGGCGGGTTGGGTTAAAGGGAAAGTTCTTTGGGCCTCCAATTTTTGACACTTTGCGAAGTTTCTCGCGTACCTACAAAGAAACATGGAGAAAATGAAGAGTCGAGAGTCCCTTGGGTCTTATTGGGGTCGACATGTTTCGATTCAGGAAGACCATACTCAGAAGAATCTCATTTTTTCCCGTGGAATTCTTTCTTACCGACTGAGAATCCAGTTTCAATGAATTAGCCAGGAATTTGGGGTTGTAGCTCAGCATCAACTAACTCCTGGATTATGTTTTCTGCAAGGCACAGGACCATTTTGGCAACCAGGGCTCCAAACAAGGGAAGTGGTGAAAGGAGCTTTGGGGCAAAATGGAAAGGCCAAAGTTGTCCTTGAACCTGACTGAGCCTGAGTCCCTTCGAGTGAGTGGTTACCAGAGTTGTGAAAATGACTTTGGGGACTTCCCTTCAACCCTTGAGAAGGTACTTTGAGGGTGCCACTTTGATTTAGTCAAGTGGACCGGCTCAAAAAATCCCGTGTTGCTGCCTAGCTGGCTTAAAGGGCAAACTGAAAAAGGAGAAGTTACTGGGTTTGGCACCGGCCCCTCATAAACCAAACTGACGTGGCCCCGTGATGCCTGTAGGCACATCTAAGCCGCGGACTTTGGTATCCTGGAAAAAGGACAGACCCAAGTAGGGGATCTTCTTGTTGAATGGGGCGGTGTCATTTCTTTGAGGGCACCCCTATGTTTGCTGGCTTCTCAAGGAAAACAGAAAGCACAATGGTCATTTCGGGGGTCCCCTGTTGAAACGACCCAAAGAAACTTCCAAACCAAAGTTGGAGCCCTTCCCTTTGGATCAACTTCTACCAGGTCCTCCAGTAGAGGGGTTAGAATAAGTTGGTACCCTTTTCTCTGTTGTCCATTCTAGTAGGGGAACCCTCCACCCAAAAAGGGGTGAGAAAGGGCACCAATTGCTGGGACCTGCCACAGAACTTGGAGCTCAATTGGTCTCAAGTTCGGCGCGGGAGCCTGGCCGGAGCCGTTCCTTCGGGTTGGTTTGCAAGACTTAGCGCCAGTTTGGGTCTGGGCCGGGTGTGGATTCGTTTTTCGGGATGGAACTAGAAGGATTCATGGGAACCCAAGCTTGTACTGAACTCCAGATCGGAGTCAACGTTGCGGGATTGCAAGACTGCAAGACTTCAGGAAGCTAAGAACCGCTAGGGAACATACATCAAATGTATGCATGAGCTTCTTTTTGCGCCTAGGAACGCATTGTTGGGAATCACCCACCTGAAAGGTCTACCTTGGCGTTCTCTGGGTGCTGAATAGCGGAATCTTTATCGCATATGTCATTCTTCTTCAATACTCAAACTTAAAACCGGACAAATCAGGGGGTGAACCGCCGCATGCGTTCACGACAACAACTATGTTGGGCATAAAACAGACCCCCCAATGAGGGAATGACCCCCATAAACCATGCCCTATGGTTTCCTTCACGCGAGTCCCTGGGTTCATTCCCAAACCCTTGGTAGGGTGCCCCGATCAACCCCGAAAGCGACTCTTGGCATGCGCAGGAGCTTGTTGCCCATGTGTGCGTTCAGTCACAGTCCTGTGCCCCGAAGGGGTCAAAAGAAACTGGCTGTCCATGCTCGTCGCCATACGTCAGCCAGTCTTTGAGGCCCGTCTCGCAATTGAGGCTTGCAACCCGACAACTTGTCGGGGTCCTGCTTTGTTCCACGAGGCGTGGACAACGCTGGACGATGTCGGCGATCTTTTTGGCTCCTGAGGGGTTGACCCCAATCGTGATCTCGCTTGCGTCACTGACAGCACCACACCGTCGTCGCGGCGCCCTCTTGGGCTTCCCTGACTTCGAGCAGCACTCTGAACTCGTAAATCTTGTTGGATGTCCATTCGCATGCATGAAACATGTTTGCGACATGACATGTGTCACACTCTCCTCCCAAGCAAAACTATGGGACAAAGACGGAATAGTCAACCAACATTCGGAAGGTCACATTACCAAACCATTGGCTCATTCCCTAAGCACCAGCAAGAAATGCATCCTGTCAACATGAACCTAAGAAAGGAGGCAAGCATGACAACCAAGAAACCACAAATCTGTAATCATAACCAATTTACCCTTGCTGAGTGGATTGGTCAGGAAAAGCAACCAAACTGTTCGTTTACCACTAAAATGGTCAAACCCCAAACAACAGTGTTCTAAAGTCGATGAACTCAAGAAGTGAGGAAAGGCGAGCCACACTAGCTCCTCCAGTAGAGAGGTTAGAATAAGGGTACCCCTTTTTTCTGTAGTCTATGTTGTTCGGGGAACGCTCCCTACCAAGAAAAAGGTGAGAAAGGGCACCCAGCTCGGGGAGCTAGCAGTGAACCCCCGCCCAGAATCATCCAGCAAATGCTTCCCGCTTCTCACAAACCCAAAGGCTCCAATCGCTGAAAGCCGGGCCTAAAGTCCAAGTCAAAAAGACAGCAAAGGCGAGCCACACAAACCGGGGACCTAGTTCAATGGGGGTTCAACATAACCATTGTTTGGGATCCTCCAAATTGGGTCCAGAGATTCTTTGAATGGGGAGGGTCCTACAAAACCACCAGATCCCGGCTCCCGGCTCCCGGAATGTCTCCCGCCTGGCGCAGCTCCGCCGCCTGGGCCTCGCGCCGCGTCTCCGCCGCCGCGCGCCGGTCCGTGGCGTCCTGGAGCCTCGTTCGCCGAGGCGTGGTGTGCGGTCTGCCGGTGAAGCATAAACAAACAAATAAGTGAATAAATAAATAAATAAATGAATGAATAAATACAAATATACAAATATACTCATATATAGTATATATGTGGAATGTGTATATATATATAGCATACATGGCATGTACATATATATATATATATATATGTACATGTTTTGAGTGGTGTGTGTGTGCGTGTGCGTATGGATCTATGTCTTCTACATTGCAAAAAATGGAATGGACGCATCATATGAATATATATATATATATACATGTATGCAGTATATACCGTGGAATCGTCTAAAGCACACGGCATTCAGGCGCCCTTCTTTGATCAAACTGGGTTGGACTGAGATTGAGCCCTTCAATCCCAGCTTTGGTAAATTGAATGGGGAGTGCTCCCGAATCAGTGCTCTGGATTCCCTCCTGGAGGGTTGTTCCCCGCAGCCACCAAGCAAGAGTCCTGCTTAATCAATGTGCCCAACCGCTCTTGCCTGCCTCAGATTCCCGGCTCCAGCCCGCAAAAAACAAATCACCGTATCACACATCAAACAGTGTTCGCCCGCTTCCAATTCGGTGTGTGCCGGTTTTGAGGCTGGTTTGGACCATCTTGCTGCTGCTCAGTAGGGAATGAAGGAATGAACCTAGGGGTCCCCCTCAAAGGAAACCACCAAAAATTGTTCATAGGGGTCATTCCATTTCATTCCCTACTGAACACCAGCAAGTGTTGTGGGTCCTCCAACAATGTTGTTGTCCTTATGGTTTCCCTGTAAAGCCACAAACAAGTGGTATCCTTGAAACAATCACAGACCATTTTTTGTTGAATGCCTTTAAACCTGGGGGAGGGTTCCTTTCAAGCTGGGCTGCCTTTACAGTTGGGGGGGGAATGTTGGAGGATTCCTTCAAACAATGGGGGGGGGTCTTTTTTTATGAGACCCCCAACATAGTCGGCCATGGCTCTAAAAACCGGCACCAAAATGGAACCCTGGTAAGTGGGAAACATGGACCAAAACCTGCGTAACCCTAGCTCTTTAATTTTGAGCCACTGCCAGTTGTTGTCCTTGCGGCTTGCCAAATCCGTATGCATTCAAAGCCGAGGACCCGGCGCGGGAAGCCTGGCCTGCGCGGATGCCAGCTGATCCATGGCGTCCTGGCACCAGCGGCTGGGGGCTGGAGGGAGGGAGGGGGAGGGAGGGGGAGGGAGCCGAAATTTATCCAAAATAAGGCCGTAAGAGCTTAAGAAGGGCTTGTTTGGGCTCCCCTCTCTCCTCCCTCCCTCCCTCCCCAGCCCCCATGAATTGAATCAACAGAAGTCCTTTTGGTCAAACATGGGATGGGTTTTTCTGGGAATGGGCACGAAAGAACCAGTAAACCAGTGGAACCCATGGATTTCTATTCAAACGTTTTCAAATGACCGTGGGCAACTTTTCCCATGCGGTTCATTTCGTTTTTTTGCTTTGTGTGGTCGTCCAGGAAATGGTCATCCCATGTATCACGGACCTTTTGATCCACCCCCACATGAGTCACAATCAAAAACCGGTACTAAAATGGTCTACCCAGAACCATGTAAAGAATTAAGAAGGCGGCTGCAACTATTTCTGGCTGGGACTGCCCTTTACTAATCTTCATCTACCCGGGTTTTGAATGTGGCTCAACATGGCCATGGGTCAAAAGCCAAATCGCACCCCCAGTGAGCATCCCAACCCCCACTAAGAAAAAGTCCTAAATTGGGTGGTGAATTCACCGAAAACCCCAAAATGGGATCCCAAAACGGTTTTGACAACCACAGCCACATGCCAATTTGGACCGCGCAAACGGCCTGCGTGGCCAGCTCCAGGCGCGTAATCTGCCGCCGGTTTTGGTCCGCCAGCTCTGCCGTCGAAGAGGCCTCGCGCGCTGAGCGAGGCGCTGAGGCCGAGGCGCTGAGGTCGGCGCCGAGTCCGACGAAAGAAACGAAAGCGTCAGGTGGTCTCCCCGCAAAAACCGCACGCCGCGGAAAACAAGGGACATTTGTGGAGCGGACAAGTGCAAATGCAATGGACCCTGTCTCCCCAGCTCCGGAAGCCTGGAAATCCTTCAAACTCTCCTTCCGACGCCTCATGGAGTCCGAAGGAAAGAAAGAAAAGAAAACTCAGGTGGTCTCCCCAGCCCCGGAACCCCCCCGCTGGAAATGTCCGAAGGCTCCTGAAAGCTGTTGGGGAACTAAACACCGCACCTCACCTCAGCTTCTTCCCTTCAATTGGCGGTTTGGATCCCGGTGCTTTGGGAAGCTTCCCATTTACCCTCAAGATGCAGGGCTTGCAATCCCAAACCACCAATAACCACCAACGGGTTAGCTGATCACAGCCCACAACATAAGCAACACACTAACAAAGCAACGTGTCAAGGATTCCCAAATCCGCAATTCACTCACGCGGGGAAAAATCTGTGGCCGACAAACATGGATCCAGAATATCGGGCTAGGCCTCTGGAAGCTGCCGCAAGATGTTTGTGGGATGTAGTGTTTATAGACCCTGTCAAGGGACCTCAGCAAAGCATAAAGGGCTCATCTGTCTGGGTGAAGTATAGATTGCTTAATCATCACATGTAGGCAAGGATGAGCACCTGCGAGTCTATCAATCGTCCAAGTCAACCATCTCGAATCATATGCAAATTCGCACACCAATGTCCCGCTGTCATTTACCCTCCACTCACTTCCTGAGTGGCCAAAACCAGATTGAACTTCTCATTTACCACTAAACTCACTTCCTGAGTGGCCAACAAACGTCGAAACATGTTGTTTCCACTAAAGTAGTCCTTTTCCAAAATAAGTAAAACTCACTTCCTAAGTGGCCGACAAAGCGTCGAACATGTTGTTACCACACAAATGGTCCACACCTAAGCGACGAAAGTCCGGAGTCCATCGAAGGGCGCCTCGTGCAAGAGCCTCGTCTCCAACTCAGGCAGCCTGGGTGGCAGCCGTGACGTCCAGTGACAACGCTGGAAGCGAAATCTGCGAAGCCCTGCTAAAAGGCTTTAACTTGTGGTTTTAACACGGAAAACCCATTGGCAAACAATTAAAGTCCTAACATCCCTTGGCAAAATGCACCAAATACTACAAATGTTGGAACCAATGCACCAATATGTTGGAACGCTTTCTTGGGCTGTCTAATTGTGTAGGAACCAACTGTTTTTTTGTTATTATTATTATTGGGCTTTCCAACTCTTGCTCGGAAAACAACATTGCACCAACAAATGTTGGAAAGCCTCGTTATGTCCAATGAATTAAGTGGACAAAACTCTATAATCAGTTGTGAACTTCATGGACATAACAGAAAGACGACGCGCGCATTGAACTCATTCATCGAGTAATCTTTGCCAGTCGATGCAACAATTCGAGCTGCTTTCATAGCTGGCCGTGCCATGCTGTCAACGACGTGATGTGCAAAACAAGTAGACCTGACAGAACTGTTTAACTGTGAACACAACAATTCTCACTCTTCGCAATTGCCCAACGACGTAATGTGCAAACCAAATAGATTCTGACATAACTGCTGAACTGTGAAAACGACAACTATCAATCTTCGCAATTGCCCCGCAGAACATCATGGCCCGAGCTGTGTTGGTATTCGAAGCCCTACGCAAATTCAAACTTGTCACTAGGTAGTCATGAAACATAAACCTCCTGAAGTGGAAAGGCTAGACACACCTTCTTGGGCTATGACGAAAGATGGACCCACAAGGGGAAACCAAAGGGGCAAAAGGTCGATTTGCTTTGGACAGGTTTTCTTCATTGTCTCTTGAGCAACATCCAACTTGGGCAGTTGCAAGGTCCAGGTACGGACAACATATAGCCAATCCACAAATCCCAGAGGAACCCAATCACCAGAGGGCCCGAGACTGCAAACCAATGTTGTGAAATCACAATGTCGCTGCCCAAACGTGTCTCTCCAAAAGGCGCACTGCCTGTGTGTGTGTGTGTGTCAAAAACAAACAATATACCCAAAGGACAACCACCTCTTTGACGCAAATCCGTTCCTGAACGCCCGCGCACAAAGCGAGCCTCACGTCGAGAATGGCACGGCACTCCGCCTTGAGCACCTGATGTTGGTTCCTCAGGCCATCGCCGGACAGTGGCGACTGCTCGGAGGGTGACCATCTCTACCAACCAAAGTAAAGGGCTCTTGTTACCATGGCCCGCACCCAAAAGCCGCAAACGTTTGGACAATGAAAAATAGTTACAACATGCCCTAGAAGCAGCCTTTGGCCGACTTCTGCACTCGTTACCTCTGGGGCTCTGGCTGAAGCTGGTTGAGGCTCTGAATGATGCCTTGGCATAGACACAAAGACACCTGCAGAAGTGCGGCACGCTGGCCTTGTTTATGGCTCATTTACTCGAGGTCTGGTGAAACCTAGGTCTGAGACGCGCATTGAGCACGGAGCGCCGCTTAAGGATATTTGCCTAGCACTCCGTAACATCCGGCTAGATTGACATGGGCGACTCAACTGGGACCACAAGTCACTTGCGGGCTTTCAAATGGATTTGCCTTTGCCACCATGCAGGATAGGGTTGGGGGGGCCATGTTTAGGACACACCAAGAGGGTTGCTCAAACAAAAAGTCAAGCAAGTTGAGATCAAAAAGAGTGCCCTGGATTCTCCCCTTAACAGTCGGTTACTGAAGGATAACTAGAAAAGCACTGATTGAAAAGCCCTCACTTATGCACCCGGGTCTGTTCAGCAACCGTGAAAAGCTTCTGTTTCAACATGGAGCTTCTGAATTTGTCCCTCGGGCCTCGATCCACAGTGCCTACACCGTCCAATGACTCGGGTACGAGTTGATGGACAGATCCAGCGCCAAACCTTTTTGAGAAGCCCAAAATGTGGGAGCCTTTTTGGGGCAAGTGGACTCCTTTGGAGCATATTTCAAAAAACATATATATATATATATGGAATATAATACATATAATATATAATACATAATAATATATAATATAATACATATATAAGCACATATATATATATATATATACACATAATTCTATGTATGTATATATATATATACTATGTGGTCTGCGTAAGCATCATCTTTGGACAGTTGACCAGGCTGGAAAACTCTTCCCACCCTGCCCAACGACCCTGGTACAAGGGGACGCTGTTTTGCATGCCTTTTTAAAAGGGAACGAGCCCAGTTTTGGGCCAACCGCTTGTTGAAGCATGCTTGCTCTCCTTTTGGGTATTTGAGGTGTGGGGGGGGGAGCAGGCTCTTATTTGCTTAAGAACATTTTGCCCCAACCCTGGCCTTTCCAGATGGATTTTTGCCCTCGGCTTTGGAAGGAAACTTTCAACGATCCGTTTTGGATACCTCCAGACACTCGTCCTCCCGCAAAAAAACGCGAACAATGACAAGCCTCTGACGGGGGGCCTCTTGGGCTCGTCAGGCTCAAAGCCTGGGCACTTTGGTCTTTGGCCTTAGATAAATCATAAAAAACAATTAGAGGTGGCTTTAGTGTTAGCTCTGGTAGGCTCACAAGATTCTATAGCATTCACACATTCCTTCCAGTAAAGGATGCCGTTTAGTCCAGTAAAGGGTCCTCATGGGCCACCCCTAAGATGGTTTTCTGGGTGAATTTTTCGCCTCTTGCAACGCGGTCCAGAAAACGGGGCTGCATTCCGGCCCTCTTTTTGGGGGGGTTGTCAGCTATTACCTCGCACAGTGGGTTTCCCGAAAGGCGCCCAAAAGCCTTGGGCTGAACATGGGGCCCCGAAGTCCCAGCTGCTCTGGCCCTTGTCCACCGGCAAGTCCCGCTCGATGCGCCGATAGACCTCACCTCGGGAATTTGTCTTTGGTCCAGTGAGGCGAGCTGATCCGGGACGTGGACTTGGGATTGATATGAGGGGAAAAAGGACGTGGGTGTACGTGTGCTTGCGTGTGTCCGTTTGCCGTTGGTGTGTTATGGATCAAGTGAACAGTGTTTGGCTCCAACTAAACTGATCAAGAAAAACAAACAAACGAGGGGAGCTCCAAGTATTGAGTTTGAAGAGGCAAGGCTTGATGGTTTCCAAGATTGGAGGCTCTTGAGGCGTGCAGGGGTGAACATGTGGGTCCTGCAAAGGCGCATAAATGTTGACCAAGAACCTGCGGACGTGTCTCACAGAATTGATGCCCATCATCCAAGCAATGGCAACCCGAATGGCCTGCTTCTCCAGCCACGGCCACAAGTTCGGGTCTTTGATTGGAAACTGGGCTAGTCTATCACTGTCTGTCACACATGGTGACACTCAAAGGCGTGCACACTCTGCTAAAGCCTCAACCCAGGTTGTGTGGTAAAATGGCCAATTATCTGGAAAAAGGGTGAAGGTGTAAGCTGCTTTCAAATGACTCAAGAAGCTCCTCATGCCAGCAAGAAACACATCTAGGCCATCCAAAAGCTGCGTAATGGCATGGCTTGCTGCTGCAGCCAAACGCAATTCATTATTATCTTGTGATCATGACCTGTTTTGGCTTCAAAGCGCCCTTATAGTAACTCCCCGCAAGTGAATTTCTCAACACAAATGTGATTCAAGCGAAAGAGAGCTTGTCAAATGTGTGAGGAACAAGAAGCATGCTTGTGTCTGTTTTGTTATTCAAACAAAACAACATGAGATGACAAAATTCTTCAATACCCTGCCCCAAAGGAATGAACATCGAAGCTCGAAGGGTTTCCGTTGACAGTGGCCTGGGAGCTTTCATGCGCCCAGGTTGCATGCCATCCACTGGCATGCCATCAGAAAACAACCAATTGATTGGACAACAAGTTGACGACTGGGAGGATAGCCCTTCCCATGGCAAAGACCGACCAGCCGGTGTCCAGTAAAAACCCCGCTCTGAAAAGGAACAAGCGCAACACCTTGCCCTTTGCCAGGGTCTAAAATACTCTCTCAACGCCGTGGGCTACTTGCAACTCAGTTTACTTCTCGGGAATTGCCGAGAGGCCGAGGTAGCCGTTCACCAGCTGCACGTCCTGGTTCCTTTGCCTCCCAAAGTGGTTCCATCAGTTTGACAAACCAGACCCCCCCCCCTCAAATGATAATTCAAACAACTGTAGTGAAAGTTGGGCCTACTGCACCAGGCAGCGTCCGCGTACAACAAGCACATAGATGCATCGTCAAATTGGTGCTCCAGACTACACATGGCTTTTTGTCCCAAGGGCAAGCCACAGTGCCCCCTACATTTTGGAGACGTGTCGAGCAACACAAGACTCCCCAGCCATTTGATCGCATCTGGGTCGCTTGAAAGCTCAAGGACAGGGCTTCTCCATTTACATCCTAGAAAGAAGGAATGAACACGGGGGCATGCAGGAGGAACACAAAAGGCCCGCAAACCAATTCTCTACTCCTGCGCGTTGGTCGACCTTTATTGTCTTGGAAAGCCTGATAGCAGTTTCTGAATGTTTAGGAGAAGCACCCGTTAAGCAGGACTGTTGTAGGCTAAGCAAGGGTTCATGTTGTTACCCTTCCGAAAGCATGCTCCTCACATTCAACGTACTGGCGGTTTTGGAGGTTACCGAAACATTCTCAGCCACAAATAGAGGCCCTGGACATGTCTCGCATTCACGGGGGGGAAGTAGCTGTCTATTCCTCTCAATGCAACCATGGAAGCTCAAAAAAAAACAATTCCTGAGGGAACCTCTCTCCGGGATCATACCCCTCTTCGGAGTTCCTTCTGCCGATCTTGAAATATGTACATGCGCACATATGCAGATGTCAATTGCAAACCTGAGTATAGCACCTAGTTCCTTTCCTGCTTCTTCCCCTAGAAAGGATACCCAAAATCCTCATGGCGCTATGCTTCACATTCTAGGCTCCCCCCAAAAAGACTCCCGCCAGAGGGTTGCATGTTTTTCCACCTCCCCACGTAACCCATTTTGGGGTTGCCCTATGTTTAACAACCAAAGCCATTTGAAGGGACGCCAAAACCGACGCCCCTCCCCTCTCGCTGCGCCTCGCCAAGGCCTCCATAGCCGTGAAGAGCTGATCCAGGCCCGCCTGCACCTCGCGAGGCGAGGCAGATTCCGCTCTCACTGGACGGACGAAATCGGGAAATCCGACGGACGGGTTTTTTTGCCTTCCAAGGCTTGGTTCAGTTGAAAGTGGTCCGACCAGGTGTTTTTTTGTTTTTGTTTTCTTCTTTCTTTTTTTTCGCCAAATAAAGGCCAGGGGTCACAAAAACAGTTTGACATGCCAAAAAAATGGTCTTGGGTGGTTTTGCCTTCCAAGGCTTGCTTCGTTCAGTTGAAAGTAATCCGACCAGGGGTTCTTGCAAGACCTTGTTTTTGTTTAGTTAATAGTTTTTTTGTTATTTCGCCAAATAAAGGCCAGGGGTCACAAAAACATCTTGACATGCCAACAACAAATGGTCTTGGGTTTTTTTGCCTTCCAAGGCTTGGTTCAGTTGAAAGTAGTCCGACCAGGGGCTCTTACAAGGATTTTTTTTAAACATATTATTATTTTTGTTATTTCGCCAAATAAAGGCCAGGGGTCACAAAAACAGCTTGACATGCCAAAAAACAATGGTCTTGGTTGTTTTTGCCTTCAAGGCTTGGTTCAGTTGAAAGTAATCCGACCAGGTGTTCTAGGGTTTTTTTTTATTTATAAATGTTCTTTCGCCAAATAAAGGCCATGAGTCACAAAAACAGTTTGACATGCCAAAAAACAATGGTCTTGGGTGGGTTTGCCTTCCAAGGCTTGGTTCAGTTGAACGTAATCCGACCAGGGGTTCTTACAAGGCCTTGGGCTTTCTTGCCAAACAAGCATGGCTAAGTTGAAATACTTTGTCTTCATGCGCAAAGCTGGGACCCAGTTGTTCTTCTCTCAGAAAAGATGCGGCCAAAAACGGTTTTGCTTTTTATCCTAAGATCTCCAAGAGAGAAGTGCCTGTGGGTCAACAATAGGTACTCAAAATGAAACCCTGGTAAATGGAACCAACGACTAAAACCTGCGGTCCCCTTATGGTTTCATTTTGACCCACACCCAAGTGGGCATGGCGTCCTTCCGGCTCTTACAACCCTCCATCGCTTCGAACGCGCAGGCGCCGAAGGCCTTGTGGCCGTCCAGCAGCGACATGGCCCCCGCGGCCTGGCCACCTGCCGCCTGACGGGAGCACACGAGAGGAGCACCGGAGACGAACACAAGAGACGCAAAAAGAACATCCAACCAACCCAAGAATGCAGAAGGGCAAACAAACCAAAAAACACAAGCATACAAACAAACAAACACCCAGACCAAAAATCCTCAACCAACCCAATAATGCACAAGAGCCAACAAACCAACCAGACCAATAACGAAAATTCAAGCAGACCAATAACGACCAAGAGCAAACAAAGCAACGACAAACAAACAAACAAACAAACAAACAAACAAACAAACAAACAAACAAACAGCTAGCCAAACAAGGAAGCAAACACACACATAAATCATACACAACGCGCGACAGAACACACACACACAAACATGCCATATACATAACATAAACATCACAAAACATGACATAACAGGCAATAACATAGCAAACACAAGAGCAACAACACAAAGAAACAATCAACTAAATACACACGCAAACGTACAAACACACACACACAAACACACAAACACCCACAAACAAACAAACAAACAAACAAAACAACAATCAACCAATCAATCAATCAATCAATCAAACAAACACACAAAATAACAAACAAACAAATAAACACACACACACACGCAAGAGAGCACAACAACAAAGAAACAAGCAAGCAAGCGAGCGAGCGAGCGAGCAAGCAAGCAAGCACGCAAGCAAAACAGAACAAAACGCACATATAGAAGCAAACACAACCAAGAAGACAAGCACACAAACACACAACAACCAACAAACACATAACATAACAAGGACGTAAAAGAAAAAAGAACCCAAACAAAACCGAACAGAACATGACAAACAAGGACACCATGAAAACAAAAAGCAGCACAACAAAAAAATACACCGGCAATCAGGCAACATAAGCAAGAGGCCAGGGACTGACAAGGGGCGCCAGGGCAGGGCAGCTTGCGGCGCCTCGAGGGCGTGGATGGCCTGGTCGGAGCGCTTCAGGGCGGCATCCAGGGGCAAGTGCTTGAGGCTGTCCTGCCTCAGAGATGGTTCGCTATACAGAAGTGTAAGCTCAGGTGATATCCCCAACAGCATGCGGTGCTCTTTTTAGCCCTCGCATGGAACCCTGGTGAAACCTTGGTGGAACCCTGGTGGAACCCTCATGGAACCTTACCTCAGGGCCGCCCCGGACCACCCCGGAGCCTATCTGGGCTGAGGCCCCAAAGCTTTCAGCTGTCGGGGAATAAAAAAAGGTTCCCGGCAGAACTGCCCCAAAAGGCGAAAAGGCGCAACGCGCGTTCTGGAACGTATGCCAAAACGCGTGTTCTGGAACGTGGCTGCGTACGGTGTGAGGTCACTAAGGTCCCGCAGATCCAGTTGCCCAGTTTGGACCCAGAAAGAACATGGCTGCTCACCTTGTGGGGCTGTGGCATGGACGAAAAAGGTCAAAAGGTTGATTTGCTTTGGGCAAGTGAGTTTATTTCCCCCGGCATCAACCCAAAAGCAAGTTCACCAAGGCCCTAAATGGTGTTAAAAGACGCAGGGGATGTTCAAAACCACCAAGAAGTTTAAGGACCCCCTGCCAGAACTCAAGTTCATGCCCCTGGCGGCCAGGTACCACGGTGATCTCGGTACAGTGCTGCGCACAGTAGGCCAAAGGTAGATGGTATCATTGGGGTTGTCATCCTCTTAACTCCTCCCACCAAAAAGTGAATAGTGCCATTTACTTTCACCCAGGTTCAGGTACCTATTGGTTCCCCCTGGCAAATGTCGCCATATACTCTTCACATGCTCACCATGTACTCGAGCACCTGCCTAGGAGTAGGTGGCACCCTTGGATCAGCGATCTCTTTGGATGCTTTGCAAAAACCGGATAGGGCCCCACTAATTCACCACTTCTATGAGTGGGTGGCCTTTGTATTCCATGTATTGAACAATGGACCCAAATAAACCCAAAACAAGAACCAAAAAATGGACCCCCAAATTATATGCCACAAATCTGAAAGTGGAGCCGGAGGAAAGAAGCGTCCAGTTGGGAAGGGGGACAAGCTGCTGAGGGAAGGCTATCGGAAATCGGGCCCAGACAATCAATGGTCATTTTAGGCTTCTTTAGGCATTTTGCCCCACGACCCGACAAAAAACAATCACATAGGTTGCACTTAGATCCGCGAAACCTTTAAGTAGGCATCCCTGGCCCGCAGGCGGCTTCCCAAAAAGCTTTCCTCAGGCTCAAAGGGTAGGCTTCCCTATCCGTCTCGGTTGGGCTTCTGGCAGCTTCTCCACCTTCATGCTGGTCTCCTCCAGGACTTGCAAGGAGACCTCACCAGGTCGGCGCACCGCGCTTTCTGTTCAAACGAAGGTCTTCTCTACGTCAGTCATAGCGTTCTTGCTTCTTTTCTGATTTTACACGCTGGCGGAACAAATGGCGGGTGTCTTGAAAACGCAGCTCAATTAAACCACCAGAAACTTGGATCTGTGTTCACTGCAAAGGATACGTACAGCTCCAGAATCCCTGTTGGGATCAGAAGGTTGTGGTGTAGTGCTCTGAGCTTGAATGAGTCCAAAGCCCCAGCGGGTATGCATTTTGCACATTTCCTGAATGAGTACTTTGCAAACTGGAAATGAGGCAAGACACCTTCCCCTGCAATACACTTTGTAGAACTCGAATTCTTGGAGCGTCCAAGAGGCGGAATCCGTGCACGTCATGGTGTGGTTTCCAAACCTTGGAGACGTGGAGCCAACGCCATTTGTGGGTGGTGCCATGCGTGTATGGTCCCAACATCCACAAGTTCCTCCGCCGGGACGGGCCAAGTAGCAGAAAGCTCATGTCCTGCTTTTCAATGGCCAAATTGTCATAATTCACAACCATAAAACAATCAAGAGACTTTCATAGGTAGGATCAATTTACCCCCGATGTGGTGAGAGGGATTTGGTCGCAAACACACACACACACAAGCAGAGCTTGTGAAGAGGCCCAACATGAAATGCGTAGACAGGTCCACACCCGCTTTTGATTGACTTTGACACGCTACGTAGGGTGTAACTAAGGGGTATATGACCCCCGTGGGTTTGCTTCTTTCTGCTGCGGTAACCAAAAAACGAAAACTGGTCCAGAGCAAACAAACCAACTAAAGCTGCAGTTGCAAGTGACCTGTTCTGTTTCGCCCACCGGGTAACAGAGTTCCAACTAGAATTCCCGCTTTTCACATAACCCCACACAAACCCGGGCTGTCCTCAGATCCCCTGCTAAAAGTTTAAGACTTTTAGTGTGTCAAATGGAAATCCCCCACTAAACCAACTAAATATCTGCAACCAAAGGGAACCGAGGAACCTCACACGGCCACCAAAAAGGCAATGTTTCACTCCCCCCCCTCTGCGCCTGGTGGCGCCGCAAGGGTTGCAATGCCACCTGCACCTGAGGGATTTTCAGGGAGCTTCCCATTGGCCGCCTGGTTGGAATCCTTTTGGTCTCGGTTCAAAAGGGTTCTCTATATGGCGGTGGGTCAAAAGCAGGGTTAAAATGGAAACAACAACTAAGACCTGGGGTGGTCATGGAATTTTGACCCATACTCATAGTTGAGACAGACCCAGTTGCTTTTTCTCAGCGCCATTGACAAGGGGACGTGAAATCGGACGGCTTAAGGTCAGCAGCTTGACAAACCTGAGGCTTTGAGGCTCTGAGTGTAAGCATACAATTAGCTGCCTGTTTGCATGTGCCAGCCGTTTGTCTGGCTACAGCCATTCTTTCAGGGATCTGTCGTTTCGGAAAATGAACAAAAAAACACCGAGATTGGCAAACAAACAACACCGAGATTGTTGGATGTTTTCTGTCGGTTCAGAAAAATGAATCCGTCTGTTGCAAACACCCATCTTGGCGGCCCAGCCGGGGATCAGCCCTTTGAATCCTATCCCAAGCTTTTGAGACCCGGAAGCCGGGCACGGGGGGCAAACAAAAATATCATTCGGGATCCATCCATCGTGTGCGTGTGGCACCTAGTGGGATCCCATACGCGCAACATAGGAGACTCCACCCAAATGTGCTGGTTGTGCCTATGGGGGCGTGCTTTTTGAGGGTAACCATCTGGGGCTAAAGTGATGTATGTGCCAAAAAAAGATATGCCCCACAAACATGGGAAGCTTCAACCTTTGACTTGCTGCCCAACAAAAAGCCATAAAGAGGATTCTGAATTAATAGGATATCTTCACCTGAAATCTGAGCCCATCCTGTGCAAGGAAGCCTTTTGGAAAGCGTTCTGACCTTCTGGGGATATCATTGCGGAGTTGCGTGGCCGCCCCTCAACAGCAAGAATAACACCAGACTGATCCTGAAGGGCTTTTGTTAGATCCCATTGCGCTTTCGGCTCCGGCTCTGGCCAAACCAATGGACCGGCTGCGATGGCTCACCAGAAAAGAAACCGAACAAGGTAATTAGACGTCTGGCAAACCTATAATTCTGCTTGGCAGGGCATGGGTTGCCAACCCGAAAGTACAACTTTCTGCTGTCCCCTAAAATTCTGGACAAAACCACGGGATGTTGATCCTTCTGGAAGCATGGTCGGTAGCGAATATCTCCATTTCCGTCTCCGGCCTCCTGCTCCAGATGATGCAGCCTCTGCTGCAGCTTGCTTTCTGTACCTCAGAAAAAGTTCGATCTTACCCCGTGTCACAGGAGCCATGAACAGGATGTCAGTGTTCCTTCAGGGCCTAAAATAGTCACTCATATGATGATTTCTCATAGGAAGCAGAGCGGGCCCCTATTCGAATGATTCAATGGACATATTTACCATGCTATTTGTGTTTTGAAACCCAGACGAAAGCCCGGGGTCCCCATCTGCACGTGTACAGGTCACCATCGACAACGATGTACATGTAGGTCACCACCGACAACGATTCGCACGACACGGCGAGCGGAGAGCGCGAACCTTCACCATGCGAATCTGGAGGGACCACCTGCGACTGATTCGAGAAGCGAAGGTATCCAAGTGCTTTGTGTGCATATACATTTATGTATATATATAATATGGCATCCCCCCGCTCCGGTGCCCCTGTATCCCAGAAGTTTTTTTCGGGAAGTTTGCAATTCTTTGGCCAAGAATGGGCACCAAGAAGGGGGTGGGCCTGGGGTGGGGCTGGCGCTGGGGTTGGCCCCAGGGCCTGTCCAGGCGACACCGAGGCTTCGAGTCCTCCCCTGTACCTGATTTGTAAGGTGCAAAATGTTGACTTTTCGCACCTCACAAATCAGTGGCATCCCAGCATCATCTGGAATATGTTGGTGCCTATCACGGCATAGGATACATTGCACAAACATTAAAATGAGTTTCTTATTTCACACAGTGAAATGACCTGCCATGGTATAAGCCAATTTTGCATTGCAGATCACTGCGCCTTGTCATGTAGTTTCTGGATTCTATTCTTCGTACGTTGCTGCTCAGTTCCCTTGAATTTGTTTGCCACCAAACTGTGAACTGGTGGTCCCGGACCCATCTCAATAGCCGTTGCCACGACAGCGTTTGGTGCACGGCCCAATGCATTCACAAGACTTGGCCGCTGATTGTGGGGGATCTTTCTTTGTAGGGGCATCTGTGTCTGGGGCTGTTTCACAGGGCCCAATGAATTCACAAGACTTGGCCGCTGATTGTGGGGGATCTTTCTTTTCAGGCATCCGTGTCTGGGCTGTTTCACAGGGCCCAATGAGTTCACAAGACTTGGCCACTATTGTGGGGGATCTTGTTTTCCAGGCATCCTGTCTGGAGCTGTTTCCTAGGGAACCACAATTTCGCAAGCCAGTTCTCTGCGTCTCCCATCTTCAAACCCATGTGACAAGATCTTTTGGTGCATACTCAGAACCTGGCATAGGGGCCGATCCCCGACGCTCACTGCTATATCCAATGCTTCTCGCACTGTCGTTGGGGACGGAAGCGCTCAGGGGGACTTGTCTTCCAAGGAGTGGCAACTCAACTCCTCCCGTGAAAGGACAACTTCTATTTTGGGAGTTCCCGCTTTGACACACACAAAAAGCAACCGATGTGCGGACAACCTTGCAGTGGGCAGTCAATAACGATCTTTTCAATGCAGGCAGCCCATGACCAAACAGCCTAGGTAGCTTCTTTGCTGCATGAGCCCAAAGTTACTATTCAATCCAAATGTCCAGCTCTGCGCATCTGATCTGAATGTGGAGCCTGCATGATCTGGTACAACTCGTTTCACGAAGTACGTGTATGATGAACTTGCATTCAGTGATTGCCGCATGGAATTTGGTTGACCCATGTTTGCAGCTCCCTCAAAACTCACACAAAAAACCACAGCAACTTGGAAACGTGTGCCACCCAGAGGCTCCTTTTCCAATTGTGTTCAAACAAAAAGCCCCCAAAGCCGATTTGGGGGTCCAGCCCCAAAACAGGCGCAACATCCCCCCACCATTCAAAATGCCATGAAAAATGCAATACAATGGCATGGCTCAACGCAAAGGCCCCCTTGAAAGAGGCGTAGCCGGCTAGAGGCCGCAGGCCCAAAAGATACCGGTATTTAGATTTCTGAGTACCGGTATTTATCTCAATGGTCCCCCACAAATCTTGGATTTTGGATCTTGCATCAAGGATCAAGGTACCCGCATTAAGAAATGTCAATACTGGTATATAGACATCTAAATACTTGTATCTAGATGTCAGGGGAGACATTTGTGGATAGAAGGTGTCCCAAAAAAGTCACGCAGCAATCCTGCATGTTGGATCTAAATACTGTATTGAGAAGCTTTGATTCAGCTGTCAAAAATTTCAGGGGGCGAGTTGACAGAAACAACTCACAACCATTTGCATTGGCAAGCTTCGATGTTGAATGTCATTCGTTTTCTGGAGTCAGGATTCTGGACAAAGCTTTCCTGGGCAATTGTGATGCTTGTATCTTGGAAAGGTGCTTTTCCTTTTTGGTTCAGGTGCACCCCAATCTCCTTTGTTGGTCCGATATGTTTGTGTCTTGTTTGGAACGGTTTCTCCTATTGTTGAAATGGATTTGTGTTCTAGTATGGAGGCAATATTTTGGAGAAAGCTTTCCTGGGCAATTGCGAATCTTGAATCCAGAAACGTGAGCTTATTTGTGCAAGAGGTACCCAAATTGTTTCTTTGCCCAGAGAAACTTGCTGAAAGAAACGAGCAAAGTAACTTGCGCAAAGAAACTGCACAGAAAGAGTCACTTTATTCTGTGCAAACAATAGCGGCTGATTTGCTGTGCGGACATTATCTTGCCTACAAAAGAGTGCACGGAGCACCCAATTGTCCTTGTCGTGGGTCCATTGCCCAAAATTTTGGAGGCTTCTAGAATGCGTAATGTCTCTCTATCCAAAGTTAGAGGAAATGTAGTTACATGATGGACTGCGAGCCTGCGTATCTAAAGTAGTTAATAGTTAAAACACTTGAGCCTGTCTACTCAAAAAAAGCAAACAAGTGGCACTTGCTGCAAACATACTTCAACTCTTCAGCCTGCTCGCTCAAATCAAGCCAAAAGGGGGCACCTGGGCGGGGGGGAGCACTTCCATGTTAGTTGGTGGGTAGTAGAACCAACTGCCAACAAATGACGGTTTTGCGCCCTCATGTGGGGTGGCTATTCGCCATTCAAAACGACGCTCTCTGGAAACAGCCTCCTGCTCCAATCGCTGCATTCTCTCTTCCAAGCCTCAGCAATGAACCCAAGGGTGGTCCACTGGTGTCAGCTTGCAAAGGGCAAAATAGGTCCGTAGCTGCGTGTTACATGCGGGTGTAAAAAACCTAGAAATACAGCGTTCATCCCCTTTGATGCCCCAACGGGACCCACTAATGTTGACCCCAGAGTAATCAAATTTTGTTTATTAAACTGGGGGTGTTTCCCTGTTTCCCCAAAGTGATGATTCCGACTAAACCCAGGGACACCCTCACTTTAATGAACAGGGGTTTATTTTTCTTTGGGGGCAACATTATCCAAGAAAGGACACTTCGCAAGCAACCCAAATGTCTGGTTGCAAGTGCCAAGCCTGTGCCACAACATCAAGCTTCCACTCGCGATCCGGATCTGAGACACCAACTACGAAACATTGCCACACACAAGCAATTCGAAGTTGGTACGACCAGTTCTTTGCAGTCTCATCCTGGTATTCTGCAGGATTGAACTCAGAAGTGGTTTTGGGCATCATTTGTTTGGTTTGTTTTCTGCACGTGAAAGTAAGCTGTTGCCTTGGACACTTTCATAAAACATACTGAACTGGAACTAGGATGAATTAGGTCAATATTCAACCAATTCCAAACAAAAGGAACTGGCACCGGGGGCACTCCAACAGAATTTGAGCTTTACTCGAACATGCTACTTTAAATGTCCATGTCAATTGCACCTTTCAAGATTGAATTGACACATCCAACCACATGCCTTGAGCGATTCCATTCCAATTCCTTGCTTAGAGCACGTTGATTTCGTCTTTGTTTGTGACTGCCAAATGGGGTACCTCATGTGGACGAGGACCCATTTCAGCTCTGGGACACCCTGGACCCCACTATGAATACCGTGTGTGTGATGTGTGTGTGTGTGTGGGGAAAAGAAGGTCATACGTTGCATGAATTTTAATCTGGGACCCTCTGCGTGGACATCACTTAGGAGGGGTGTTGTGTCCCCCAACCACATTCCAGGGGGTTTCTTATTTAAAATTTGTGGCCATATTTCGCATTGGGAAGCGGGGAGCAGATTGACAAACGTTGCCTGCCCGGCCGAATTCTTTCACGCCATCAAAATCCTAGGCCAGATCAAGCTTCGTATCTCGACGGGTACTCACTGGGGTATGCTAGGGTATGACTAGACGTTGAGGAACATTCACTCGGCAAATGGGATCACAGAAAAGCTTCACCGCGGAATTGGTAGGGTCAACACCATTCCCAAGTAGCAAGGCATCAGGGATCAGCACTACTTGCTGTAATTCAACAATCAAACTTCATGAATCCCCATGCAAGCGCCCTTCATGATGAGTACTTACGCTCCCCCAGGCAACCTCACGACGGATCGCGCACTTTTACCTCTGAAAGGCCAACTCGGGCTGGTGCTAAAGCTCTGCAAACTCGATTTGGAGAAACGACTGGATTGAAATCCAGTCCAACCTGAGGCCCAAAACAATCTGGAATGAGAGAAGCGACCCATCGGCTTGAATGTGTAATTATCTCTTTTTTGAGGGTACCCCCTTCTTGTGGTTTTACAGGGAAGCCAAAGGATAACTTGAACAGTTGGGGGTCACCCAAAAAAAAGAACTATACCAAATAGCAACATGGGACCAACACAAACACACTTCCATCTTGCAGGTTTCCGACAGAAGCATATCGACCTTTTTTCGCATCACAAGATATGGACGTGTCTTTTTCTGAGGGTACCCGTGCTTGTTTAAAGGGAAATCACAAATGGGAACCAACCATATGATGGCGATATGATGGCGGTGGTCCTCAAGAAGACACATACAAACATTGTTGCTTGCACAAAGTTCTTACATCACCCAGGTGTCTCAGGCCCAAGTCAGTGCAACCCATCGGGGTCATATTGAAACCACCAAGCTCGAATGGCTCGCTCTTTGAGCCTTAAGAAAGATTCTGGGCCGTGTCTGGTTGCCCAAAGTTGGCCATTGCCGCGGTCCGAAAAGCCTCAAGGCCCGAAAAGCCACCTGAACTCACAACAACTCGTTCATGCAAGTCATTGCACAATGGCCATGGCAAAAGGACGCCCCGCTTTTACCTTTTTTGTTTTTCTTCTCGCTTGAATTTGTGTGTCTGCTCTTTGAGGGCACCCTTTCTGGTGTGTTGTTTCAAGGGACACCAACAGGAAAACTGCCCTTTTGGGGGGGGTTTTCAGATGTCGCCACAGAATTTGCATAGCCCAAATCAAGCGCTCCCATAGGTGCGGCCGATTCACCATCCAAATGCATTGGGTGGGGGGGGGGGGGTTCGCCAATTAGTCCCTGAAATTCGGGAAGCCTCAGTTGCAAAGGACCAAAACATGAAACTGCCCCCCAAAACTGGGGAAACCTGGTTATAAGATCAACATGCGAGCTCACTTCAATCTCAACACTACGGTTGACCAGCGACATGCCAAATTCGGGGAACCCGATCCAAAGATCAGAGCTGCTTGGCTCAAAGTGCATTTCGGCCAGCCAGCTTCGATCTTCGCACGAGCGCCCAAGACGTCATTCTGGGCGCCTTTAAAAATGCTTGAAACATATCACGAGATGGTCAGCAACGGTCAAAATAAACTGTGTAGTGCTGATCTGCCCAGAAAACTGGCCAGAAAAGGTCGAATGGTTTGGGGCTGTAAATGATGAAGGCACCCATAGCTATTATCCAACAGTTGATGTGTTTGCCAACTGAAGAGTTGAGGAATTCTGCGTCTGGGAAAAAATACAAACCTGAATAGGAGACCCAAAGAGAACCTTCGCTCAGATGCCCAGTGGATTTCCATAGGAAAAAAGGGCATCCATTTTTGTTGGTTGAGTTAAGGGAACCATTCCCAAGAAAGGAAAAAGGGCCCCCCGGGCAACTGGGCTCGCAGTGGGTGAAGTCGCAAACCCCTTTGAAAGGTTGTCAGAGTTGTACTCTTTGATTAGCAGAAGGACGTGATTTGACCGTGGCTAATATCGCTCAGGCTTGGAGAAGATGCGAACCAAGTGGCCCGCAGGACAGCTGCGAGCTGTAATCAAGAAGTTCCAGCAACGCACCCTGCGGTTCTGCCACTCCTTTTGACATATGCCTTGTGCTGACCGTGCCTCCTTCAAGCATAGCTCCATTCCCCCATCATCTCTCGTCTGCATGGATCAAGCAAACCAATGGATGATGCCGCCAAACGGGCACGGATGCCCCATAGGAGGGCTTGTTGAAACCCTGCGGAACTCGCGTACGGTGACAAAACACCAAAACAAAGCTGTGAGCACGGGAACATCTCATATCATCCCCTTACGCATGAACCTTGTTGCCCCGCACTGTTAGCGCTGTGGCAGGTAACTCATGAGATTCTGCCTTGCAGGTTTTACTGTTGTGTGAAAAGGATTTGGACCTTCCCAGGAAGTATGGTCTTTTTAGTCACACCGATGCAGGGATCTGAATTCAGGATTGGGCTGCGGCATTATTTAGACTTCGCGAAGCCACGATCGCCTCAACTTCCTCCTTCCAGTTGCGTGCTGTAGGAACAACTTCTAGCTGTCGAACCCGATTTCGCTCAATCCTGCGCCGAATTGAGTATGGGTCAAAATTTAACCACCAGGGGACCGCACGTTTTAGTCCATGTTTCCACTTACCAGGGTTCCATTTTGGGTACATAGTTGCTCAGAATCACGCCGAACATACAACAAGCTGCATGTCTGACTGTGGCACTTATACTAATGGCAGGTAGCTGACAGTGTAAGGCTCAATTGAGCCCGCCAATTCCTCTGCGCAGGCGACACACAAGCCCGGACTTCTCCACACGAGGCCGGATACAGAACACTCTGCCATGGAAGCTACTCCAATGCAAAAGAGTGACTGAATCTGCCCCGCCCCACGATAAGTGGCAGGTTTTGGCCAGCTTGCCATCAAACCCGTACCCCAAACCTTTAGTGGCCGGGGGAGAAAAGCGTACCCAGTGGATCCATTTACTGTAATAGTAGGTGAGCAAGGGAACAGCCCGGAACAAAAATGGACAATAGGCTAATTCCTTAATTCCTGGGGTATCTCAGAGCCTCGTTCTGAAAAGTCTCCAGCGGATCAAGAGATGTCGCATCACTCATGCTGAGCCTGGCGCAAACAACTATGAGATTCTTCCAAACAACTGGTTGGAGAGCAACAGTTGCGCACCCCTAGGTCCTCCAGTAGAGAGGTTAGAATACGGGCACCCTTTTTTCTGTGGTCGATTTTAGTAGGGGAACCCTTCCCCGAAAAAGGGGAGAGAAAGGGCACCTAGCTGGGGGACCTAGACCCTGTTTGGTGCAATTCAGTGGTGGCTGTTGAAGGGGTTACAAAAGGTTCAAGGATAAGCAAAGGAAACTGGTGAGCCCCGCAACCTGATGCAAAGGGCCGACTCATTTTGGACACCCCGATGGATCTGACGAGGGCTTTGAAGCAATGAATCTCTCCCCAAAAATATATATCCGTGGATTCACAAGTGAAGGTGGATCAAAACCATCAGTCAAGAAATCTCAACGGGCTTCGGGTCATTAAACATAAAGATTCTTGGATGCATCGAGCAGCAAACCTGAAACTCAGTCCAGTGGAATAAAGGCTCTCTTTTGAACGCTTCTCTCGATACCTACAAATCCGCATTTCCAAACGCAAAGCGAAATGTACCAGCCTTGAAACTCCTTGTGTCCATTATCATGATGAACAATCCTTTGGGAGGTCCATGAACTTTCCATGCTAACCAAGTAAAAGTGTGCTTTACCCATGTCACCAGCTGCGCTCGACACTGCAGGCTTCTGTGGCCATGAAGTAGCTGCTGCAGTCTGAACATGACCTGCTCTTGCTTGTTCTCGGTAAGGAAAACTCGGACTAAACTCAAAGGTTCACTACAAGGATCTACGGATGCTTGGAAGCGGGTCATTTCCGTGGTGAATCTAGAGCAACTGTGTGCCTCTTCAGCGTGAGAGTATCGGAAATTGTGCTGCCTGCCTTCCTCTTTTCCCCGCCTCAGCTGTTCCCCCTCAGCTT